TACAACAACAGCTGGTAGAGAACAGCTGATAAACAAGAGTCCAGGAAGGTACTAGACGTGTCGTATCAGCGTGTTAGAAGCCAGTTAAACGTTCTACCCTCAAGCAGAATTTTTTTTTTCTTTTATCTCATAAATATGTAAGAGACCAGGTAAATTATGAAAACTTAAACCAAGATGTGATGAATGGTTTGAAAAACCGACAAGTTGAAGATTGAGACACTTATGCAGCATATGGGAATCTTTATTCAGGAAACGTTTCGCCACACAGTGGCTTCATCAGTCCAATACAAAGAGGAAGGCGTAAGGAGAGGAGGAGAATGAGGTAATCAGTCCCTCAACCTGGAGTCGATGTGTTCAGTCCATCAATCTTGTAGAATGTACAGCATAGGGCCGTAGACGTGGCTTATATACTGTAGTGAGGTGACGTGAAGCAGATGGAGGCGGGGTCATAGTGGTACCATCCACTAGTCGAAGTAGGTCTTCGTCCAAAGGTTAAAACAAGTGTTGAAGAATTCTTTGTAACAAACCCCATGATGCTGCCGGGTGTCTGACAGTTGTGATGAATGTTGAAAAACCGACAAGTTGAAGATTGAGACACTTTTTGCAGCATAGGGGAAAATCTTTATTCAGGAAACGTTCGCCCCCACAGTGGCTTCATCAGTCCAATACAAAGAGGAAGGCGTAAGGAGAGGAGGAGAATGAGGTAATCAGTCCCTCAACCTGGAGTCGATGTGTTCAGTCCATCAATCTTGTAGAATGTACAGCATGGGGCCGTGGGACGTGGCTTATATACTGTAGTGAGGTGACGTGAAGCAGAGGGAGGCGGGTCATAGTGGTACCATCCACTAGTCGAAGTAGGTCTTCGTCCAAAGGTCTTGTTACAAAGAATTCTTCAACACTTGTTCAACCTTTGGACGAAGACCTACTTCGACTAGTGGATGGTACCACTATGACCCCGCCTCCATCTGCTTCACGTCACCTCACTACAGTATATAAGCCACGTCTACGGCCCTATGCTGTACATTCTACAAGATTGATGGACGAACACATCGACTCCAGGTTGAGGGACTGATTACCTCATTCTCCTCCTCTCCTTACGCCTTCCTCTTTGTATTGGACTGATGAAGCCACTGTGTGGCGAAACGTTTCCTGAATAAAGATTCCCATATGCTGCATAAGTGTCTCAATCTTCAACTTGTCGGTTTTTCAAACCATTCATCACAACTGTCAGACACGGCAGCATCATGGGGTCTTGTTACAAAGAATTCTTAAAACACTTGTTCAACCTTTGGACGAGACCTATTTCGACTAGTGGATGGTACCACTATGACCCCGCCTCCATCTGCTTCACGTCACCTCACTACAGTATATAAGCCACGTCTACGGCCCTATGCTGTACATTCTACAAGATTGATGGACTGAACACATCGACTCCAGGTTGAGGGACTGATTACCTCATTCTCCTCCTCTCCTTACGCCTTCCTCTTTGTATTGGACTGATGAAGCCACTGTGTGGCGAAACGTTTCCTGAATAAAGATTCCCATATGCTGCATAAGTGTCTCAATCTTAAACCAAGATGTTTTTACCCATAGCTCAGTGGAAGAGAGTTCGGTGCACAAGCGAAAGAGCATGTGTTCGAAACTGGGCAAGATGTTCAGAAAGTCTCTATACTAATGTTACCCATGTTCTGATTCCAAAGACTTAGTCTGTTGAGAGTAAGACACATGTGCAACATCTGGGTATCTTTATTGTAGACGTTTCGCCATCCAGTGGCTTTATCAATACAAATTCTAGGACATAACTTGAAGACAGTAGAACTATGTACAGAAGATGAGGTAATCAGTCCCTCCACGACTATGGTGCTGTTCGCACCTACTCCTAGGTTGAGGGACTGATTACCTCATCTTCTGTACATAGTTCTACTGTCTTCAAGTTATGTCCTAGAATTTGTATTGATAAAGCCACTGGATGGCGAAACGTCTACAATAAAGATACCCAGATGTTGCACATGTGTCTTACTCTCATCTTGTCGGTATTATATACCATTCGTACACAACTTAGTCTGTTGTTTGGCTTATCTTAGGATGGGTCTCAGGACACGAAGGGGAATAAGCCACACTGGCTTTTTTTGCGTTAGCATGGGTTTTTCTTAACCCTCAGATTTAATACGAAATAAGTCACTTTGACTTTCTTGGGTTATCTTGGTGAATATACACATATGTTACTATGTACAATAAATATTTATTTACTACCAGTACATGTACAAGGTATACAGGCCTAGCTTGTTATGCAGAACATTTTAGGCAAATTGGGTCAGTTTTGTCCCAGGATGCGACCCACACCAGTCCACTAACACCCAGGTACCAATTTTATTGATGGGTGAACATGGACAACCGGTGTCCACCTACCTGGAGGGTATTCCGGGGATCAACCCCCCCGCGGCCCGGTCCACGACCAGGTCTCCCGGTGGATCAGGGCCTGATCAACCAGGCTGTTACTGCTGGCCGGATGTAGTCCAACGTACGAACCACAGCCCGGCTGATCCGGCACCGACTTTAAGTATCTATCCAGCTCTCTCTTGAAGGCAGCCAGGGGTCTATTGGTAATTCCCTTTATGCCTGGTGGGAGGCTGTTGAACAGTCTTGGGCCCCGGACACTAATGGCGTTTTCTCTTAGTGTACCAATGGCGCCCCTACTTTTCAGTGGGGGTATTTTGCATCGCCTGCCCAGTCTTTTACTTTCAATAGAGAGTGATTTCTGTGTGCAAATTCGGGACCATTCCTTCTAGGATTTTTCAAGTGTAATTATGATACATCTCTCCTGCGTTCCAACGAGTACAAATCAAGTGCTTCCAAGCGTTCCCAGTAGTGGTGTTTGATAGAACTTATAAGTGCGATAAAGGTTCTTTGTACACTCTCTAGATCTGCAATTTCACCTGCCTTGAACGGAGATGTTAATATACAGCAGTATTCCAGCCTAAAGAGGACAAGTGATTTGAAAAGCATCATCACTGTCTTGGCATCTCTTGTTTTGAACGTTCTCATTACCCATCCCATCATTTTCTTTGCACTTGTGATCGTGGCACTGTTGTGATCCATGAAAGTGAGATTCTCAGACATTACCACTCCCAGGTCCCTCACATTGCTCACGAAATCGTAATGACAAGATGGTATGGTTTGTTTCCCTAACATTTTTTTCCGCTCTATTGTATGATCAGAGTTTGTAGCATACTCAGTTCTAGTTATTATCTCCTCCAGTTTTCCATAACGGAGTAGTTGGAATTTGTCTTCACTGAATACATTTTTTTCGTTGCCCACTAGAAAACTTGGTTTATATCTTCTTGGAGGTTAACCGTGTCCTCAATAGAGGACAGTCTCATGCAGACCCTTTTATCGTCTGCAAAGGATGATCCGGTGCTGTGGATTACATCTCTATGTCTGATACGAGGATGAGGAACAGGATGGGGGCGAGTACTGTGCCTTGTGGAACAGAGCTTTCACTATGGCAGCTACAGGAAACACATCCAATGTTTCCACCCCTTCGCCGGGAATCGAACCCGGACCCTCACCGTGTGAAGCGAGAGCTTTTGCCACAAGGCCACCTATATCTAAATAAAGTTACTAATCTTCACTTTCCTACGTATTTCTGAGTTATTCCTTATTTTATTAAGATATCGGCCGTTTCCCACCGAGGTTTGGTGACCCGAAAAAAAGAAACTTTCATCATTCACTTCACCACTGTCTTGCTAGAGGTGTGCCAACATTACAGTTCAACAACTGCAATATATCTCTGTGTTAATTTCCTTACAACTTGTGAGGGGACTGAGACCTAGTCGCTGGGGTGATGATCCTAGAAATTATTAACAATTAAATCTCTCATGGGGGCACCAACTTTCCTAGGGACCCCAATGGAACCAATTATTATTATTATAAAAAAGAAGCGCTAAACCACAAGGGCTATACAGCCCCAATGGAACCAAGTCACTGAGTTTTTTTGAGTTATCTCAGGTTCTCTACACATATGCTACTATGTATGATAATCTAAAGTTCCTCAAAGAGCTGGGTGAAAAGCTCGTCATAGAAACCAAGGACCACAGGGCGACCAGCTTCCTCTTTCAAAGACTCAGTGTTGCGATCTAGAGAGGAAATGCCTGCAGCATTCTGGGCACGCGGCCCACCGCCGGGGAGCTGGACGAAGTATTCGAAATGTAGCTCTGAGCTGTTATCTCATGTTGTTTTACTTTCTATTGTATTTTGTGAATGTTTTGCCAATGTATTTTGTCTTTAAATCTATGTAACTGTATTTGTGTATACCTGAATAAACTTACTCGTGGCTCACTTGGTAGCGTCCTCAGCTCACATACTGAGGGACCGAGGCTCGATCCCCGGACGTGGAGAAACGTTGGGCGTGTTTCCTTACACCTACTGTCCTTGCTCACCTAGTGGTAAGTAGGTACCCGGGTGTTAGCCACCTGGTGTTGGTCGCATCCTGGTGATGTGGATTAAAGAACCGCAATGGAAATAAGCCAGTCTGATGATAGTGGCTTGGTAACCTCCGAGTTACGTTCATTTAGGCACAAGTACAATTATAGTGTAAAATACCTAAAATAATCCCAAAAAGAGTCAAAGTGAGTTACTTCCACTGAGGTTAATAATCCACAATCTTCTTATGCAGCAAATATCAAAGCAAATAGCTGAGAGTATTGCCAAGCAACAGCAACCTGTGTCAGTGCAAACAAGAGCGGGTATCACTACCCAGCAACAGCCCGCACGAGTAACGGACAATGCAGAACACGACAGCACTCAAAACACTAGTGTTATAGCTGTCTTAACTTCTAAGGTTTAAATAAGATATTACAAGGACCCAGTGGAAATAAATAATTTTAACTTGTTTTTTAGTTATACTAGGTAATTTCCACATATGTTGCTATGTATGATAATTCGTGTAACTGTATTTATGTGTAGCTGTGCCTAGTAAAACGATGGGAATGGCACTTTACCTTGGACTGACGGAGTTCCTCTTAAGGCAGAGTCCTCTGCCCTATTCACTAGGCTTAAGTGACTAGAAAAGCTCCTCGGTGAGGCCACAATAACCCACAAGGTCCACAGGGTAGCAGCAGCCACCAGGGTAGCTGAGGCCAGGAGGCCTGGCCAGTGTGGTGCACTTATCATGCTTGCTGGCCCTGTGTATAGGTCCAAGTCATCTCACGTGCGAACACTCAACAGCACCAGCAGCGCTGTGTTATCCCTCTCACTCTCACCAGAGCACTGACGGCAGACTGCCTTTCTCGTCTCTTGTAGCCCCTCCACCACCTCGCCTCGCTCCCTGAATCACTACCCAACCGAAATACTGTACGCCCGTCTTTTCCTACAATCAAATAATTCATTTAGGCACAGGTACACTTAAGTACAATTATCATACATAATGTAAATTACCTAGGATAAATCCCCAAAAAGTCAGACAGTGACTTACTAACCATACCACGGGCGGGGTTAGAACCCACGATCAGTCTCAAAACTCCAGACCGTCGCGTTACTTATTCCCAGACACAGGCTTGGTTACAAGTTCTTCTGTCAGTTTGGCATACAGCCTGTTACATGCTTGAAAACTTTGTGGCTGATTATCCACTAATTGGGTTATCAGACAATTTACACATATGTTACTATGCTCAATAATAACCCACATGTTGACAAACTCTTCAGATCAATTAATCTTCTGAGTTTCTGTCTGGATGTGGGTTATTGAGAATTGACAAGTGTTCTTTACACATTAATTATTCATATGTCACTAAGTATGATAATTGTAATGTGCACCTGTAACAAACCTGGACTCACTTGCCACGAGTTCAATCCCCACCCATACCGAAGTTTGTTTACATAATAACCTATGCGACATATCATGGTCTCATTAAGCAGACACCTTAAATTTGCCTGCAGCAGATAATCTTTTTGGGACTTAGTTCACAGGTGTTTTGTGTATCCATATGCTCCTGCGCTACCATTTTTTATTATAAAAAGAGAAGCGCTAAACCACAAGGGTTATACAGCGCAGCAGGGCAGGGAATGATGATGCAGGGGTAATGAGTGGCAAGAGGGAGAGGGATGATTATTAGGGTATGGAGTGCAGGGGTAGATGGTAGCTAGAGATTAAGGTAAAAAGGACTGAGGAGTGTTAGAGGCATCATCAGAGTTTGTGTAGTAAATCAGCTGCTGTCAAAAAGTCAATGAGTCTGGATTAAAGGAGGATCCATCAGCAAAAAGGGAAGGTAAAGAAAGAGCAGCAGAGTGGAGACGATGTTACTTGGAGGTTACCTGGAGGTTATTCCGGGGATCAACGCCCCCGCGGCCCGGTCCATGACCAGGCCTCCCGATGGATCAGGGCCTGATCAACTAGGCTGTTACTGCTGGCCGCACGCAGTCCAACGTACGAGCCACAGCCCGGCTGATCCGGCACTGACTTTAGGTATCTGTCCAGCTCTCTCTTGAAGGCAGCCAGGGGTTTATTGGCAATTCCCCTAATGCTTGATGGGAGGCTGTTGAACAGTTTTGGGCCCCGGACACTTATGGTGTTTTCCTTAGTGTACCAATGGCGCCCCTACTTTTTATTGGGGGCATTTTGCATCGCCTGCCCAGTCTTTTACTTTCGTAGGGAGTGATTTCTGTGTGCAGATTTGGGACCATTCCTTCCAAGATTTTCCAAGTGTAGATTATGATATATCTCTCCCTCCTGCGTTCCAACGAGTACAAGTCAAGTACTTCCAAGCGTTCCCAGTAGTTAAGGTGCTTGACAGAACTTATACGTGCAGTAAAGGATCTCTGTACACTCTCTAGATCTGCGATTTCACCTGCTTTGAATGGAGATGTTAATGTACAGCAGTATTCCAGCCTAGAGAGAACAAGTGATTTGAAAAGGATCATCATGGGCTTGGCATCTCTCGTTTTGAAAGTTCTCATTATCCATCCTATCATTTTCTTTGCACGTGCGATCGTGGCACTGTTGTGATCCTTGAAAGTGAGATCCTCAGACATTACTACTCCCAGGTCCCTTACATTATTTTTTCGCTCTATTGTATGGCCGGAGTCAGTAGTATACTCTGTTCTAGTTATTATCTCCTCCAGTTTTCCATAATGGAGTAGTTGGAATTTGTCCTCATTGAACATCATATTGTTTACCGTTGCCCACTGGTGGTTGGTGGTAAATTCTGCGTGCTGGTTGATAGAGTGGGCAGTTCAACAGAATGTAGCTAACAGATACTGGAACTTGACAATTCTCACAGAGAGGAACAGGGCGCCTCTCCATGAGATACCCGTAAGATGAGTGTGACCGATGTGAAGACTGCAACGGGAGAGAGTAGTCTCCCAACCTCGACGCTGGTGACAAGAAGATGGCCAGAAACCTATATTCGGTTTAACAGAATGAAGTTTGTTATGGAGCACATCAGACCAACGTTGTTGCCAACGGGTGCGAAGGTGGGTAGCAATTACAGCAAAATAGTCCGTGAATGGAACACCTATGTGAAACTGGGAGGTCATGTACTGCTGACCGCACAGCAGTGTCTGCCTGTTCATTGCCCTGTACGTCAACATGACCAAGTACCCAACAAAAAAAAAAATCTTTGTGTTTGCTAGAGATACAGCGTAGCCAAAGTTGGATACGAAGAACTATGGGGTGAGGTGTATAAAATTTTCGTATACTCTGTAAAGCACTACGGGAGTCTGAAACGACCACATATGGATAAGTGCTACAAGAATAGCATACAATTCAGCCGTACAAATACTAGCCGAGGATAATAAATGTCCTCGCATGACACTGTCCGGAAATCGGTGTACACTGCGATGGCATGAGAATGAGATCGGAAGTGGTCAGGAAAAAGAGAGCGGGAAGCCACCGTAGGTAGTTGGGATTTTGCGCATGGCAGTGGAAAAGAACAGACACGAACACCTGGAACTTCCCAAGGGGGCAGGGAAAAGTGAGGTGCTACATGAACATAGAAAGGTGGTAACTGAAGGGAAGACAAGAGCGAATGTAGGCAGAGAGAAAAGGGACAGAGTAAACAGGGGCGACGAACAAATGTCTACTAACATCGGTGACCATCCTATATATGGAAGGATTGTGGAGGTCATGATCAAACATAACAGCGAAGGCAATGAGCATCACCGTGTTCGGACAAGGATCGAATATTAGCTTCTGCAAAGAGGCTCTCAACAGGGGATGAACGAAAGGCACCAAGGCACAGATGGAGACCCTTGTGATGAACGGGATCTAACTTGGACAGTTGTGGGAGAGGCCGCAGATTAGATTTGGTCACCATACTCCAGCTTGGACTTGGACTTGGACAAGACTAGGGTGGAATGCCAAAGGAGGAGAGTGCGACGATCTGCTCCCCATGAATGATGTGCAAGAACCTTAATTTTAAGGAGATTTAGCCGACCATGGCAAGTTGTCTTTAAAGAAGAAATGCGAGGTCTCCGAGTCAGCCAGCGATCAAAGAGCAGGCCCAAAAACTTGACCATATCACATGCCAGAATACATGAATCGTTTAAGTACAAGGGAGTATCCAGAACAAGAGGACGTCTAGTGAAGGTAATGAATCGGCTTTTTGTACCAGAAAATTTAAAGCCATGAGAAGTGATCCAATGGGAGACTCAGTCTATCACAACCCTGAAGGGAGGCTGCTACTAGTCGACAGTCAGTGCCCGAGTAAGCTACAGCGAAGTCATCAACATAAAGTGACGACCAAATATGTAAAGGAAGAAAAGAAGGTAGGTCATTTATAGCTAAGAAAAAAAGAGTAGTGCTGAGAACACAACCTTGAGGGACTCCCTCGGCTTGTACAAAGTCCGAGGAGAGGAAAGCGAGGCGCCAATACGGACCCAAAAAATGTCTATCGGACAAGAAAGCGGCGATAAGTAAGTAAGTTTATTCAGGTATACACAAATATAGTTATATAGAATTATCATACATAGCAGCATATATGTAGAGAACCTGGGATAACCCAAAAAAGTCAGACAGAGTGACTTATTTCCATTGGTAGTTTGGTAGATTACCATGGAGGCCTAAGGAGTGGGCTTGGGCTAGAATGTTATACTTCCAAGTAGTGTCATATGCATTCTCAAGATCAAAAAAGACTGCAAGGACAGAGTGGTTGTTAGCAAAGGCATTTCGAATATAAGTATCTAAGTGGAGCAAGGGGTCTAAAGTAGAGTGGCCTTTGTGAAAGCCATATTGGCAAGGGGAAAGACTATTGTGTCTCTAAGAACTACATCAGACGTTTATTCACCAAACGTTCCATCACCTTGCAGACCACACTGGTCAGAGCAATGGGACGATAGTGAGAGGTGTCAAGCCCCAAGGCGCCCGGTTATAAGATTTCGTTCGGATTTTTAACCCCGGAGGGTTAGCCACCCAGGATAACCCAAGAAAGTCAGTGCGTCATCAAGGACTGTAACTTATTTCCACTGTGGTCCTCAATCTTGTCCCCCAGGATGCGACCCACACCAGTCGACCAACGCCCAGGTACCTATTTGCTGCTAGGTGAACAGGACAACAGGTGTAAGGAAACGTGTCGAAATGTTTCCACCCGCCGGGAAATCGAACCCGGGCCCTCCGAGTGTGAAGCGGGAGCTTTAGCCACCAGGCCACCAGGCCACCGGGCCACGGTAGTACAATAGCCGATCTCCAGTGTTGATGGAGAACTCCTCGCTCCTAAATTAGATTGAAAAGACGTAAAAGAACGGGAAGGGCCGTAGAATGGAGATGTTGTAGCATACTGATGTGTGTATCATCAGGTCCCATTACCGACGGCAGGCAAATGAAGAAGAGAAGTAGAAAGTGGTGCGGAGGTAGGAGTGTCAGAGGATAAAACTGCAAAAGAATTAGAAACTGGGGTGACCCCGGAAGACACCGACGCAGAGGGAGTGGGAGGCGGAGAGGACCGTCGAGGTTGGAGGTCTGCGGGCTACCCGAGCATATGGGACACCAAGAAGTTTTCCTTGAAGGCGGACCTGAGAGACTGCCATAGTGTAAGGCCCTCACGCTCTTTAAGGTAACGGATATTTCGTTCATTACGATAAACCTGGCAACGGCGGGGAAAGGATGAGGTTCTTTGCAATTGAGACAAGAGGGGGGAAGACTACAGGACGTATTGGACTGATGATCTGCTGCACCGCAGACCGAGCATTCTGAAACACTAGTATGTTATGGTTCTTTGAGTTTAATAATGTAGGGAACCACTGAAGGGTTTTCTCTGCCAGA